ATCCACATACTTTTACTGGGTGCTTATTGTGTGCCAGGAACAGACTGTGCTGGGCCCACAAAGGGGTAGGGTCCTTTCCAAATTCTTACTGATAGACTTGGGAGTCTAATATCTTCAGTTGAAACAGCAATAACAAATACAAAGGGGCTTCAACAAGTTCATGGAAAAATGGAATTCAAAGAGAGAAGAATTTCTCTATGACCTTTTTGAAGCTCCCTCATGTCTCCTTCATAGACATCATATAAGAACATGACAGATAATAAATGAAACCACCCTTTACAAACATTAGGAATTATCATTGTCAGAGAGCAAAGTAGGGTTTCCTACCTAGTTCTTTAGAGTTGTAAACAGGTATTCTACTAAAATAAAGTAATGTTCACGGTCATTTTTCTTCTGCCATTTCCATGCTACTTTTAAAATCGGTGTCACGCCTGAGGGTTCGAGAAGGTGCATGGGATGGCTGCAGGGCATTCAGGTATAAGGTATGCACAGCATGCACCAACAGAAGGTCAGGTGGTAAGTGTTGGCCTATATGATAGACCTCCAAGTTTAGTTTCTACAGAGATTTATGAAAAGCAATCAGACATCGTGGATGAGGGTGTGGGTTAGGAGTCACAGACCCTGGGTATGAATCTGGGCTCCCAATTCTTACCCATGGACTTCAGACTTAACCCTTTCATGCACCAACTTCCTCCACTGGAATACTGTTGTTGTTAAGTGCCACTGAGTTGGTTCTGACTCATAGCAACCCTGTAAAGGGTTTCTGAGGTTTGGCTGGTGAGTTTGAACCACCGACCTTGTGGTTCATAGCGACTTTAGGTTACGCGTTTATCCTTTAGCGTCACACCAGGACTCCACTGTAATGTTGTTATTGTTAAGTGCTGTTTAGTCGATTCCAACTCATAGTGCCCCTGTGTAGGGTTTCCAAGGAACAGCTGGTGGGTTTGACCTGCCGATCTTGTGATTCACAATTCAGTGCTGATTAGAATGATGCTAATAGTCACTCCTTGGAAACCCTATACAGGGTCACTATGGGTCAGAACCGACTTGACGGTACTTAACAACAACAATAGTAAGTACTATCTCATGAGATTGTTGTAATGATTGAATGACATCAATCAATGCCTGGCATTTTGTAAATACTCAGTGAGATATTTTTATTACCCCAACTGCTTAACGTTTATTGAAAAGTAAACATCTGAATCCAATTTGAATTATTTCTTATATTAAACCATATTTTATAGGTCAAAATCGGTCAAATTTTAGTGATTTCATATAGTCTAGTCTTAAGAAGTTCACTGATCCTAGATTTTCTTTCTTTTTTAAATTCACATTTAGGTTATGGTTCATATGTTCCATTTGTACATCTGGGGTCTTTTGTCTAAAGAAAAGGACCTATGGTGGCACTGTAGGTTAGGCATTGGACTGTTTGGTAGTTCAACCCACCAGTTACTCTGTAGAGAAAGAGGAGGCTTTGTATAGGCCTCGGAAACCCTATACAGGGTCTCTATGAGTCGGAATTAACTCGATGACAGATTTGCTTTTGTCTACAGTTGGTTTGTATAGCAGACTCTGGAAAGGACTCTGCACTCTTGCTTTAAAAATTTCCACTTTCAAGGCTACATGTTTACAGCAGTAACAGTTTCTTAAAAAAAAAAAAAAATCACACATAATTTCCACACATTCTTTCAGGCAAACAAACACTGTCTCAACTTGAAGAGAAAAGAAAGCTTTGTTAGCTTTAAAAAAAAACACCACCAAGAAAACCCAGGTATTCAAAATCAAGTCTGGCTGTTTCCTTGAAACCTTCTAAAATGTGTTAAGTGACAGGAAACTTCAAAGTGAGATTCAGCAGCGTCTTAATGAGATTTCTGGATTTGCAAATTTCACAAAGGATACAACTCTGCTCAGCAGCCAATCACAGGCCAGTTTCCTTTAGTTAAGTGTGCCTACTGCTGACATGTGGACAGACAGGAACAAAAAACCAGCTGTCATCTAGTCGATTTTGACTTGTGGCAACCCCATGTGTGTCAGAGTAGATCTGTGCTCTGCAAGGGTTTCCAATGGCTGTAGATCACCATTGTTTCTTTCGAGGTGCCTCTGGGTGAGTTGGAACTACCAACCTTTCGGTGCCCACTTTAGGTATGCTGTTATCTCAGCACACCATTTAAGTCAATTCTAAACCACTGCTAATATTAACCCAGGAGTCCCCGGGTGGCACAAATGCTACTAGTGTGGTGTTGTAGGATAAGCACTGGACTTATCCATCACGGTTCCTCATAAACCCTATACAGGGTCGCTATGAGTCATAACCAACTGGACGGCACTTAGCAACAAACACGACAGGCCCAGTGGTCTGCTTCTGAAATGTTACAACCTACTGCCGTTGAGTTGGTTCCTACTCATAGCAACCCTGTACAGGGTTTCTGAAGCGGTAAATCTTTGTGGGAGCAGAAAGCCTCATTTTTCTCTGTGCAGAGGCTGGTGGGTTCGAATCGCCAACCGTGTAGTTTGCAGTCCCATGCTTACCCTACAGATTCACTCTGTGTCAGGGCTGCCATGAAAATTCCTGTGGATGGTGTTCTGGGTTATAGCAGGGCAATGTTTCTCAAAGGCCTTGGCTTTTTACATCAGGATTCGTGTCCTTTCCAAATCACACATTCCCAGGTTCCACTCAAAGATCTCTTAAACTAGAATCTAAAGGGCCAGGCCTGAGAATCTGCATTTTTAACCAGCAACCTCATTCAGTAAACTAGGGGATGGCATCCTGTTGGGTTTCCTACGGATTCCTGGTGGTGCAAATGCCTAGCACACTTGTCTGCTAACTCAAAGGCTGGAGGTTCAAGTCCATCCAGAGATGCTTCAGATAAAACAGGCCTAGAGATTTAAAAAAATTAGCTACTGAAGACACTATGGGGCATAATTCCACTTTGCCACACATGGGGGTTGCCATGAGTTGGAATTAACTTGATAGTAATTGGTTTGGGTTTTCTTCCAGGGGCCTCTTAGTTTCTTTTTAAATGTTTTATTGTGAATTATGTGATAGTTTACACGGGAAAACATTAGTTTTACATTCATCCTATCATATATCATTTCATTGCCATGGTTACAATCCCCTCCATGCATCATCAATCAACCAAAGAGTATACCCTACAAGCCTGCCCCCAGGTCCTCAGCACACAGCCCCTCCCCCTCTCTGTGTCTAAAGTCCCCAACTGCTCCATCTCTCCATGTAATCATCTCTGTCTCCATCTCTGGCATCACTGCTTCTCTGGGTAGAGTCCTGCTCTCCGCTCTTCTCCCTTCATGGTCCCAGGGACCTCCACTCCTAGACTGCAAAGTCAAGCACTCCCCTCCTTGCTACAAAACATCTATCTTTACATTTCCAACCCTCACAATTAGTCCTTATAACAATTATTCACTATTGTATTACAAGAGACCTATCCACATTTCCTTTCATCAGCCCCACTGTTTCTTTAAGTGGATATCCCAACAAACTGCCATTTACCTTTCTTTGTGGTTCATTAAACATTAGTCTCATGAAACTTGGACAAACCTTCATGAGTTGGACTTGGCATGGCTGGGTTTTAGTTTCATCTTGCTTTGTCAGGCTAAGGGGTCTACCTCCTACCACTTTCAACCCCTCAAGCATCCTGAGCCCTCAGGTTAAGTCCCACAAGCACCTCCACATCAGCCTCTGAGTCCACTGTCCAGGTATCAGCCCTGAACACTGGACCTGAAAATCATTCTGGTGGGATCATGCTGGCTAGCATCAAGCTGGAGCCTTCTAAACAAGCCATATATATTTTTATGCAAGTAACATACAAAAGGCTGACGGAAAAAATCCTGGTTCATATCAGAGCTTCAGAACTCTGGGCCTGAGTTTGGCTGGTTCTAGTGGAAACTCAGGGATTCATTTGACTGGACAGTTAACCCAACAGTGGGTCTAGAGTTAAACAACAGTAACAAAAGACACAAAATTAGCACCACCTCGGTCTCCTCTCTCCAGTCTGTCTTCCACCACCCCATCCCCCACTTTCTACAGCTCATCTTTCCCTTTGGCGTCTTTTTCCCTCCTCTCTTTTCCACCATCCCCGGTCAACATGATCACCTGTTTTTTTCCCATCTTTGACATTTGGAGAAAACTAGCTCTTTCCAGTGTTATTTGTTTTGCGTTTTGAGGAGCGAAGCAAACAGAAACCAGGTTTTTCTGCATCGGGCCACAGAAGGGAGATGTGTGCTGAGTGTCTGTTTCTGAATTCCTGGCATGAACCCCACAGTCCCATTTTAGATAGGTCAAAAGTACAAGCGAATTTTTAAGACTAGTTTAGAGTTGATGTCTCTATAGGCAGATCTTGAATAATTAGTTAGCTACACAATTTAAAAAACAACAACAAAAGACTTCATTGTTTGGATTACTCTGTTCAGTAAGAATTCATATAGTGTAGATTGCTGGCTAATGGCAAAAAAAAAAAAAAAAAAAGCCACTTTACTGGGCAGGCAGGGCCCTAGCAAGCAGAAGCTTACGTTCCAGTCCATATCTATGGGTGCGTGTGAAAGGCAGGGCTGTGGAAAGGAGAGGCTAGAAATATAGAAACCCAGGCTGCGGGTCTTCCTAGAACAATGAAGACCCGTTTAGCTGAGTGGGTGGGTTGAGCCTGTTCTTGATTAACTGTAAGTTGTTTCTCACAAATACAGAATTATTTCATCAGCCTGAAAATAAACAAATGAATGATGTGTGTTTCAATGGGGCTCCTCCAGCATGCATAAACAGGTGTGGGAGTGCTTTCTTCGAGAAGGGGAGAAGGGGAGAGAACATTTACGAGCACAAAAACTCCTCTTGGGAACACGAAAATCCAAATGCAAACAGGAAAAAACCCCCACATATTTACATATTCGCCCTCTTCTTGTTACCCCAGGGCTGCTTATGCCCCCATGTGCACGTTTGTATGAGAAAAGACCGCCCCCCCCCAAGCAATTATATGACAATTAAAGCTTACCATTGTAAGAGCGAAAATTTCCTACAAATTTTATGTATTCGTAAGTTGGAAAATCCTTTGGGTTCAGACTGCCTCTGAGAAGATGGCAATAAAATTCTAAATCGTTGTCAGCTGGACCATTAAGAGAAAAAAGAGAGAAAGGGGAGACGTAAGTGTGACACAGACTGCAGACTAAACAAGCGGCATGATGGGAAGTTCTCACGGGGGATTTAGTCTGCCCTTGGCCAGGAGATCGCGCTCGACGGTTCTGACTTTTGGATCTGGTTTTGAACCTCTAGAGTCTTCTTTCTATAATTCATAAGCATCTTGCAATCCATTTTTGGACCCAATTAGTCTTCATCTACCCACAGATGTCTCTGATTGGTTGTGTCAGCACTGATTAGTTCTGGCTGTTTTCATATGGTATATTAAAATAAAGCTATTCATATAGAGCTTCTTGCTTTAATTTAATCTTTTTGCTTTGCTATGAAGTAAAAGCAGATGTACGACAGGGCAAATTACACATGGAAAAGAGACTGAGGTTTGAACAAGTGCAAGGCATCTCTGCTCCCTCTTGCATGCTTCACCGAATGACACACGGTTCATTAAAGCACCAAGGCCAGTCTTCTATCGCAGCTGCCAAACATTTTTAACCAAACTTAGAAAGTACATAAAATATGCATAGAAATTCCATAAATAACCAGAGGACAGACTTAGAAGAGCAGTATTTGGATGTCTGACCTAGTTACTCAGTTTTCAGTTGGTTAGTTAGTTGGCATTATCTAAATTGAGCACTATTTGTCTTACAAGATCAACAGACTGTTCATTGATTTTTGCACTGTTACAAAGAGACCCTCTATTGTTAAAAAAGGAAATCTCTTGCCATGCACGCAAAAGGACTTATTCTTGAATGCAACGCTTTCAAGTTTTCATCATAGAAAGTTATATTTCTTACATATCCCAAACTCCAGTTTTTAGCTTTAAACTGAAAATATACCCCTAAGAATGTTGTAAGCGTTGTGAGTCACATGGAAAATTATTCTTAATTCTTAATTCATTCTAACCCCTTTTTAAAAGTAAAATTCTTCTCTTTATATTTGGTAAAACCAGTAAAATTAAACTTACATTTTAAATATTCTGGGGAGGAGGAATCTGTCACAAGCATATGGGAAGAAAGCATTTTATAAACTTCTGAATGTTCTTGTTCTGGAAGGAAATTTAACAAATTCTGATCCATGACATCTGACTGAAAAAGAAAAGAGCAAAGGTACACATTCACAAGGATCAAAAACACAAGCAATAATAATAATAAACCTGAACATTCATGAACATTTAGAATCTGTGTCCAAAATGAAAAGTTAAAATCTGATTTTCTGTGAACACTCTTAATACACTACTCTGTGATCTTTGGTGGTCTATGCGTCAAACACAGCCACCACCCATGTGTCTGTGGAGGCTCGTGTGTTGTTGACGCTGAATAGATTTTAGCAGAGCTTTTGGAATAAGATAGATTGGGAAGAAAGGCCTGGCAATTTACTACTAAAAATCAGCCATTGAAAACCCCACGGATCAAAATGGTTCAATCTGCAAGAGGCAGTGGGGTTGGTACAGAATTGGGTCAATCTTTCTTCTGTTGTGCCTGAGGTTGCCATGAGTTGGGGCACGCTGGAAGGTCACTAACAACAAATCTTGAAATGCAATCTCAAATGTTTTACTTGTTCAATGTATTATTATTGTTCATGGGCCCAAGAGAGAAGTAGGAATGAAGACAAACCCACAAAGAAAACAAGCCTCCTTGCTTAAGGGGAGTCCTGATGTGGCGATGGAGGATCAGCACTGAAGTTGGAACCACAAGGTTGGCAGTTCAAACCCACCAGCTACTCCTCGGAAACCCTACACAGGGTCTCTATGAGTCAGCAATGACTTGATGGCACTTAGCAACAACAACAACAACAACAACAACAACAACAGAAATCTGCTTGAGGAGTTGATCTGGCCACAACCCTTCCAACCACCAGCTGGGGCAGTGAGGGCAGCCACTCATTGGAAGAGTGGCTTCTTCCAATCCCTTTTCCAATCACTGAAAGTGCACTTTCCCCCTGAGATCCTGGGCCCAGTGTTTGTTCATTATGGGGTTCACTAGCTGTAACGCTGCTAAGCCTTTGAAATGTGACTATTGTAAATGAAGAACAGAATGTTTTATTTTATTTCATTTAACTAAAGTAGGAATAATGGAGGCAGGCAGGACACAGACATGTCTCTGTTTCTTCTTTAAAAAGAAACACACAACTCTCCCCTCCCCCCTCAAAACCAGTTACTGTTGTTTCAATTCTAACTCATGGTGACCCTGTGTGCTACAGTGTAGAACTGTTCCATAGGGTTTTCGTGTCTGTGGGATTCTAGAAGTGGATTACCAGCACCCCACCCCCACCCCGCGGTTTTTTTTCAGGTGCCTCTGGGTGAGTTTGAACCACCAACCTTTCAGTTAGTGGTCAAGGTCTTAACCATTTGTGTCACCCATGAACTCCCTATTTCTTCTTGGTCTCCTTCAATAAACTCATCCACTTTCCCATGGCTTCAAGCACTACACGTATACACCCTAAAATTTGTACATCCAGCCAGCTCTTTCTTGTGTATCCAACACTCAGCCTTCTAAATGCCACTCAGATGTCCCCTGGGAACAAAAAAAAAAAATTCACACTTGTCCCCAATGTCATCATTCTTCCTACCCACATCTTCTCCGCTTGTGCTCTCCAGCTACATAACTGGTACTGTTCTGACATTCAATTGCCTACACCAGGCTCCTAGATGGCATCCTTCACTCGTTCCCTTCCACCCTCACCTCCACATCCAAATAATTTCCAAGTGCTGCCAGTGTTTTCCTCCCTTAAATGCTCCCAGATCTATGCATTCATTTCTATGGCCCCTACCCTAGCCCAGTGGTGTTGGAGGAGAATACTAAAAGTGCCATGGGCTGCTAAAAGAACCAATAGATCCGTTTTAGAAGAAGTGCAGCCAGAGTGCTCCTTGGAAGCAAGGATGGCCAAACTTCATCTCTCATACTTTGGACATATTGTCAGGAGGGACCAGTCGCTGGAGAAGGATATCAAGTTTGGTAAGGTGGAGGGTCAGAGAAAAAGAGGAAGACCTCCAACGAGATTAATTGGCCAAGTGGCAACATCAATGGACTCAAGCGTTGCAATAGTAGTGAGGTTGGCCCAGGATCGGGCAGTATTTTGTTCTGCTGTGCATAAGGTCACTATGGGTCGGTTCTGACTCGATGGCACCTAACAACAACAACAACAACAACCCTAGCCCAGACCACCACCATCTCTTGCCTGGAGAAAGATGTCATCAAACTGGTCTTCTCACACTGATTTTGCTCCCTGTCTAATGTGTTCTTTCACCAGCAATCAGCAGGAACCTTAGGTCAGATAGAGTTACCTTGCTTCCAACTGCTCCTGGGATAAAGTCTAAACTTCTCAGCATACTTGGGAGGTTTCCTACTGGCCTCTCCTGCTCTCTAGCCAGTATGTCTCCAGCTTGCCTGTTCTCGGGTTTGTCAGGTTCTCTCTAACCCCTGGGCCTCTGCTCAGACTGTTCCCGCAGGCACATCCACTCTCTCCTTGGACAACTACCTCATCCACTCTCTCCTTGAGCACCTACCACATCCACTCTTTCCTTGGGCCAGCTAACTCGGCATCCTTGGGGTCCCCACTTTGAAGTCACCTCCTCTGAGAAAGTCGTCATGACAGCCCCTCATGTAGAGAGGCACCTTCATCTCTTGCTGTCACGGGCTTCTGTGCCCGTTCCTTGCACTTGTCACGCCACACCGTAGCTGTGGATGGTGAGGCCAGTGAGGGCCCCGTGGCCTGCCTGCTTTATTAGCATGTTCTCATTACAGGTAGAGCATCACAGCAGGGTGGGTGACAGCCCCGGAGATCTGGGTTTGGAAGCCGGCTCTGCCATTTACTAGCGTGCGCCTTCCCAGCTGTACCTTGTTGCTACTGTTGGTTGTTGGCTGCCTCTCAGTTGGCCCCTGACTCATGGGCACCCCATGCACAGTGGAGTGAAGTGCTGCCCAGCCCCAAGTAATCCTCATCAGTTGCTGTGGTTTGGATTACTATGGGACACAGGCTTTCCACTGGCTGATTTTCAGATTTCCAGGCCTTTCTTTCCAGTGCAGCTCGATCTGGAGGCTCTATTGAAACCTGGTCAGCATCAGAGTACCATGAAAACCTCAACTGACAGATGAAGACACTGAAGACACAGATTCTACTGCTGTTCCAACGCTGCACTCAGCTCAATTGTAAAACAAGGAAGTTGTGAGAATTCAATGGATTGTGTGCATTGTTGGTAAAATGGCACACAGGAAACGATACATATTAGGTATGATGAGCTACGTAAGAACTATTTACTAAATGACTACGAAGATGATTGCTTTGTGATTCTGGCTCATTTCTGCGTCAGCTGTGCACTTGGTGAGGACTACAACGTGAACTCCAGAGAACGGGCCAATGCCTACCTGTTCACCATTATACCCTTAAATCCACCTTCTCTTGTCAGGTGCTGTCTAGTTGATTCCGACGCAGAGTGAACTTACAATACAGAGTAGAATTGCCCCATAGTGTTTTCTAGGCAGTAATCTTTATGGGAGATTACCAGGCCTTTCTGCCACAGAGCTGCTGTGTTGGTTCAAACCACAGACATTTCCGTTAGCAGCCGAGCGCTTAACCACTGTGCCACCTAAACCCAAACCAAACTCACTGCCATCGAGTCAACTCCACCCATAGTGACCCTATATAAGGTTTCTGAGACTGCAAATCTTTAGGAGAGCTGACAGCCTCATTTATGTCTCGGAGCAGCTAGTGAGTTTGAACCCCCTAGCCTTGAGGTTAGCAATCCAGTGCTTATCCTACAGCACCACCATATAGTATACAAAAAGACCACACCCACTGCCATTGAGTCGATTATGATTCATAGTGACTGTGTAAGGTCGAGTAGAACTCTCCCTTAGGGGTTTCCAAGACTGTCTCATTATCCTCCCAAGAAGCAGCTGGTGGATGTGAACCATGGACTTTTCGGTTAGCAGCCTGATACTCAATCCACAGCAGTGCCCTTCGATAAAAATGCGGTGAAAGAAGAACGTGACAAATACTGTAAAGGGAGTAAAAATAAAAGGCCCAAGAACACTGAGTCTGGTGTGCTGACTCCCAGATTGTGGGGCAGGGAGAATGTCGAGGATTGAACTCTGCCTTCCCATCCCCCCCAAAATGTGTTGCAATCCTAACCCAATACCTGTAGATGGGATCCTGTTAGGAAATTGAGTTTTCTTTGTTATTATGTTCATTAGACGATTTCCTGGAACCACTACAGAAGCAGACGGGCACATCTTTTTCCCAAGGAGCAGCTGGTATGTTCGAATCACTAATTTTATGGCCAAGTAAAGTAGGGTGGGTTTTCAATTGAATAACATCTCAGTTATAAAAAGAGCAGAACAGAGATAGAGATATGCACACAAAGTCTGGGTGGGGGCTAAAGGGGGCACACAGATGCCATTTGAGGTTTGTCTATAAGCCAAGGAATCAAGGAATGTCCAGGAATGGACAGGAGACTGTCTGTGCATTTGCATGTTTAGCATCCAAAACTGAGAGAAACTAAATGGCTGTTCCTCAAAGTGGTATTTGTTACAGCAGGAATGGGAAATCAGGACAGTGAATGGTTCCTAGGGGGAGAAATGCCTGAGGAGGGGTCCTCACTGATGGGAGGGCAGGATGGTGTTGAGGGAGGGGTGAGGAGACACAAAGGGAGACAAGACAAGTCTGCCGCAGGAAGACTATCTAGATCAGAGAGCATCCCAAAGAAACTCTATACAAGGTCGCTATGAGTTAGAACCAACTCAACAGAACACAACATCTGTACTTACAGGGAAACCCTTGTTGCACTGTGGTAAAACTACAGCACTGTGAAACACAAAGTTGGCAGTTCAAATCCACTATCTAATCCACGTGAGAAAGATGAAGCCTCAGAAACCCTATACAGGGTGGCTATGAGTTGGAGTCCACTCCATGACAGTGAGTTAGGTTTTGAGTTTGAGTGCTTACTTACAGGAGAGTAAATTATACCTGCAATTGAACTGTCCTTTGAGGAAGCTGGGCTTTGTTTATTAAAACAGTAGTAATTATGGAGGCACCAGGAACGTGTTACCTGCAGCACAAATTTCACAACATTATCAAGACCACTTAT